CAATGCCCCATCCCTCCCTCAGAGCCAAGCACCCCACCCCCACTCTAACCCAATCCCCCTCCCCTCCTCCAGAGCCAAGCACCCACCACTCCCCGCTCTAACCTAACTGCCACTGCCACGCACTTCTCCTTCCAGGCACTGGGGCGTGTGCACAGAGTTGCTGGCTGTGAGCAGTCCAGGCGCACAGCTCAAAACCAGAAGGAGTTGCATTTCTTTAATCAAAGAGCCACATGCAGCTCGAGAGCCGTGGGTTGGCCACCCCTGCTGTGAACCATGAGTTTGTGTGGCTACTCAGGAGAGATTCAAATAATGCCCAGCTGATTAGCAGAGTGCTCAGAGCTAGGGTTTTTTTGGTTTCCAAATAGTGTTGCAAATGTACATATGACTCAGTGCATATACAAATTTATTCTTCACATAGATGGAAAAAAATCCACACATGAATGAAAAAGATTAGAGAGAACACTGACTTCGTAGGACTTATCTAGACTATGCTAAAGTGTCGAAAGAGGATATGCAAATTCCCATGGGAATTTGCATATCTTCTTCCGCTCTGACTTTCTAAAGCAAAACTTTCAAAAGTGAAAATAATCAAGACGCGTTTTTTTCGGCAAACACTCCCCCCTTTTCGAGAAGCTGCTTTTTCCTGAAAAAATGAGATTTATTTGGCTTTTCAAAAAAGGGGGGGTGCCAAAAAAATGCGTCTTAACTACTTTCACTTTTGAAAGCTCCGCTTTTGAAAGTGAGATCAGAAGAAGATATGCAAATTCCTCTTTCAACACGTTAGCATAGCCTAGATGAGCCCTTGGTGTGCTGAACTGAGGTGGGTTCTACTATCTGGGCATTACAGATCTTTCTGAAAGTCCATTCTCTGTCTGTTAGGTTTGCTTTTAATTAGAGGTAGTCAGCCCAAGACACTGGGCCAAATTCACCATGGACTATAGTAGTGACAATGCTGTCAAATGCACTGAAGAAGTACCCCTTTACCCATTGCTCTCGGATAAAAGATACGTGGAAAAAATTAGAAGGATGAGTTGGTTTAATTTAACTAAATGAGTAAGCAATTCTGAACAACCCTTTTATACAAGGATAAAAATGTAGCCATGTTAGTCTGGTGTAGCTGAAACAAAATACAGGACTATGTAGCACTTTAAAGACTAACAAGATGGTTTATTAAATGATGAGCTTTCGTGGCCAGACCCACTTCCTCAGATCAAATAGTGGAAGAAAATAGTCACAACCATATATACCAAAGGATACAATTTAAAAAAAAAAATTTTTTTAATTGTATCCTTTGGTATATATGGTTGTGACTATTTTCTTCCACTATTTGATCTGAGGAAGTGGGTCTGGCCCACGAAAGCTCATCATCTAATAAACCATTTTGTTAGTCTTTAAAGTGCTACATAGT